GGGGGTGGAGGGTGAGAGATTAACCAAAGAACTTATATGCATATATGCATAACCCAAGGACACAGACAATGGTGTGGTGAGGGACTGGGGAGGGGGAGAGGGCGGGGTGGAATGGGTCAATGGGGAGAAAAAGGGACAGCTGTAATATTTTGAACAAAAATTTAAAAAAAAAAAAAAAGTGTAAGCTTACAGGCTCCTGGAGAATTTGTACCTCTGAAATGAGCTAAAAATTCTGGTATTCGTTTTGCAAGGAAAAAGTAAACCTCTGGAGCCTGCTTAGGATTAATTATTTTTGTGAATAACATTTTGGTCATTTCTAGTGATATTTATGTAGGTTTACTAGCAAAAGCCTGGTTTTATGTTCAGATTAGTTTTAAACATTTTTTATTGCAGAGAAGGCATTAGAAAATATCTTCCATGCCACTAATCTAGATTCTCTAGAATCAGAATATTATCAAGTGGCTAATAGCTGTAAAATTCCATCATACTAGTTTCTATAAACAGTCATAATGCAGTCACTCCAAAGATGATTCATAATAGTGGCTAGCATTTGATTGATCAGATAATATTTTTTTAAGTCACTGATTTACCAACAGATCTTTCTCATATGGTGTGCACATGTCATTTGTTCACAATCACTATTAACTGAGCCTATCTCTAGTTTGCATCTTATTTAGCTTCATTCGGCTTTTAAGAAATACATAATATAGGTATTCTTTTTAAAAAATGAGTCAAATTATATTCTTAAATAGCCAATTCACTCCTTGATTACTGTTTTAATAAGATCAGAATTCCTGTTTAATGAGATTGGATCTATAATAACAGACTTTAATAATTTTGCAAAAAAACATAAGTTACAAAAAAGTTAAATCATATTTAAACAGAAGTCCTCCTCAAATTTTGATTATTTGAAAACCATTACTACGGTTTCTATGATCTTAAAACTCAAACTATAGTTTGAATTTATATTGAATACTTTAACAGAAGATTTAAAAATTGATTTCATGTGATTTTTTAAACTATAGTACAAATTAACCAGAATTTTTTCAGGTTATTCCTATTTCATAATTATCAATTCTATTGATTTTATAAGAGGTTACAAAAGGAACTGCGATATGTCCGATAAATGACCCCCCCCAAATATATTACCAAGTAATT